AAAGTATTATTTATTCATTGTTGAACAACTACAAACCAAATATATGTAGATACCAGTTTCTGAACTCGGTGAATAAGGTAAAAATTGACTAGATTTGAGCTTACTTGATTGCCACTTTTTCATTTTAGAGCCAAATAAAGAAGTTTATTTGTATTTAGGAGCTAAGCTTTAAGAAAAATATACCTTGTATACACACTGAAACTACATGAATAAACAATGTGAAGTCCACACCATGAGAGGCACTTAGAACAAAGCTCAACTAGGGAATCAGCAGGTTCCTATTCATCTCACAACCATCCCCTGAGTTGTGCTCACTTAGTACAGTATAGACAAATCCCTTGACAGGTTTTAGTATATTCTCCCTCCCTTTGTCTTCATTTGTCTCATTTACTGATAGGATGATTGGACAAATAGTTCATTGTGAATGATTCTCCTGTAGCCTGGAATGATATAAAATGAAAAATAAAAGGCAATGTCATACTTCTTTCCCAAGCCAAATCTGTATCCCTAATGATCAACACTAATAAAACTTTTCATACACACATCCCTACCTATAATATATAGACAAGAAACCTTATTTTTATTTATTTTTTTTCTTTCCACATTTTTATTTTTGCATTACAGTTGTACACAATGGTGGGATTTGTTGTTACATATTTGTGTATGCACACAATATAACAATATAATTTGGCCAATATCTCTCCCCAGCACTTCCTGGCTCCCTCCTTTCCTTCTACCCCTGGGTCCCTTTTCTCTACTGATCTCCCTTTGACTTTCCTGAGATCCTGCTTCTCCCTTTCTTTTCCTTTTTCCTCTTTAGCTTCCACATATGAGAGAAAACATACAACCCTTGACCTTCTAAGTCTGACTTATTTCACTTAATACAATGGTCTCTAGTTCTACCCATTTTCCTGCAAATTATGTAATTTCAATTTCTTTATGGCTGAATAAAACTCCATTGTGTATACTACATTTTCTTTCTCCATTAAACTATTGATAGGCATCTAGGCTGGTTCTGTAGTTTGGCTGTTAGGAATTGTGCTGCTGTAAACATGTGTATGCATGTATTGCTATAGTATGACTTTAATTCTTCAGGATAAATACTGAAGAGTGGTGTAGCTGAGTCCATGGCAGTTCCATGCATAGTCTTTTGAAGAACCTCCATACTGATTTCCAGAGTGGTTGTACTAATTTTCAATCCCATCAACAGAGTAAAAGTGTTCCTTTTTCTTCACTTCCTTTCCAGCATTTATTATTTGTATTCTTGATGGCTCCATTCTGACTGGAATGGGATAAAATCTCAAGGTATTTTTGATTTGCATTTCCCTGATTGCTAATGATGTTGAACATTTTTCCATGTATTTGTTGGTCATTTGTATTTCTTCTTTTGAGAAGTGTGTATTTAACTCATTTGCCCAATTATTAATTTGAGCAACCTTAATTTTATGTTTAATATTTTTCCATATTAAAAAAAAAAGAAAACTAGAAGGGAGATCAGTTTAGAATAACTGTATTGGGGGAGGAAGGAGGGAAGGGAAAGGGAAGGAACAGGGGAATGAGATTGGTCAAATTATGTGCATGTACAAATATGGCATAGTGAATCCCACTATTATATATAATTATCAAGCACCAATAAAAATAAGATTAAAAAGTCTGTTCCAGGTGCAGTGGTGCATGCCTGTAATGCCACCACTCAGGAGGCTGAGGCAAGTTCAAAGCCAGCCTCAGCAACTTACTGAAGCCCTAAGCAATGCCAAAGACCCTGTATCAAAATAAAAAAAAATAAAAGGTCTGGGGATGTGGTTCAGTGGTTGAGAGCCACTGGGTTCAATCCTGGTACCTCTCCACAAAAAAAATAAATAAATAAAATAAAAAAATTATATATATATATATATATATATATATATATACACACACACACACACACACACACACACATATTACATTTTCTAATAGTTGTACAATACTGTGCAGTACAAACTGAAAATTATAATTTTACAAGCTAATTCCCACACTGGTGGATATTTAGATACCTGCACAACACATGTGCTCATACACATATATGTGGGATGAATTCTTGGAAGTTGAATCATTATATCAAAATAAGTATGCTTTTTAAAATATGTAAAAAATAATTACAAATTATTTTTCATTTTCCCCAATTAATGCATACCCAATAGAACTTAATGATTAATTTTTTAAAAAATCTTTTCTAATTTTTATGCTTTTTCTTTAATGTAAGGTTAAGCATTTTATTACATTTTTTAGTCTTGTGAATTGCTACTTATGTTCTCTACCTATTTATATTTTCTTCTTAGCAATTTATAATCTTTTTTCATTTTAAGAAAATTTTCCATTAACATTTTGTAAATATACCCAATTTTTATTTGTTGTTGTATGTAATTTACCAGGCAGAAGGTTTATATTTTTATGTATTAATAACTAGCTGTCTTTTCTAGTATCACTTCAGGCTACTGTACTCTAATATTATATAAAACCAAATCTATGTTTTCTTCTAATATGTTTATAGTTTCAATTTTCTATACTTAAATCATTGCTCAATCTAGACATTTTGATGAAGTTTCATCTTAAATCTTCTTGTCAATGACACTGTGAGTTAAATATTATCCCCATCTTGCAAATGTTACAAAAAAAGGATCTGACATAAAAATGATTTTTCAGTACTACTTACTTGTAGTATTGAAGCCTAGATTTACTCTGCTGCCTCCAAAAATATGTAGCCAGTTATAATTTAGTTCTACAACAACAAATGTTATTCTTGCAGATATGTTACTCTGTCGAAGTCTGCCTAAAAGTAAGGATTACTTCTCAGTGGTACCCTGTCACTGTAGTTACTGCCTCATTTTCTGCATCTATAAAATGAGAATAGTAAGTCAGCTATCCTAGTCCACTTAAGAAAATCAGACAGTAAATCTACAGGTGTAGCCCATGTCTGTACAGGGATTCTGTGGGGTAGGTCAGTAGCTTATGAATTTTAAACAGGTTTCAATGGTAAAAGCCTTCTTTCATTAGAATGTACACATATTATATCTGAAGCCTATCAGAAGCCTTCCCTGATTGCTTCAACAGGGAAATGTGCTTTTTCACTTGTAACTTTATTTTGTTTAATACATACCTGTAAGATGTTCTGAGATTTCTAACATTTTCCATTTCTTTTGCAACTCTTTCTGTCTGTATCTGCCTCTCCTGGGACATCCAAATACTCTCTGGAGACCATTAAAATAATAATAAATATACATTCTTTCTCCTCAACTGTTAACAGACATAATTAACAGTACTTATTCACAGATTGAAAATTGTTTTATAAAAATCCTCTGAATATCCAATGGAGAAAGGCATTTTTTAAACCCTCCTTTATTTTCTATGGCATCAAGTTGCTATGTTTGGGTTCATTTATGAGAAGAGCTGCAGGGAATGTAACCCGCTATGACCTCGGGAGAGGGAAGTGGTATTAACTGAAATGCTTGGTTCTACATTTAAAGTCATTAATAAAAGTTGTGGAATGAGAGCTGGGCATCTGTGTTGATATTTTAATGTCCTGGAAGTCATTGGTTGGTGTGGCTAGTGCTTATAGTTTGTAATTACCTAGTCTCCTATGACAGGCGGAACTGGAAATCAAATTAAGTGGATGCTTTCTCTTACATTACTAAAGAATCTCCAGCTTAAGATAAGATTGCCTTTTTTCTTCCTAAAAAAAGGCACAAACAATGACAGCCCAAAATAGCTATTTAGTCAGAACTGACGACACTTTCTGAATGCTTGTCATTAAGAGAGAAATAGAAAATCCTGCTCTTTTTTTCCTTAATTTCTCTCCCTGAAATACCTTGCTTCCTCCTGAAGCTGCCTCACCTCATTGCCCAGGAGAAATGTCCAGCGACTGACGGAGCTTCAGCACCACTGCAGGCTCCAAAGGGGAGGCGGCTTATGCAAAACGTATTAAAGAAAGATCCTAAAAGTCACTGCAGCTTTTTCTAGTGAGTTATGCTGAGCTTCCCTGTTGCTGTAAGCTGATGGGGAGCTTTGTGGCGGAGACAGAACCACTCTTTTTCCTCCCACTATTTTTGCTGCAGTGAGAAGTGTTCATTTCTGTTTGCATTTCGCCAGATAGCTTTAGAATTCTAGCTGAGCATTAGGGCTTCCCAAGGCTGGAAATAAAGAGTTTAAAACCCTAAATTGGAGTTTGTCCTCTTGACTAAGTAAAAATTGAGTTAATGTGCTGCACAGCCTCCGATGCCTGACGGGAATGACAACAGACAGTAGGGTCTGATGATATTTTTGAATTAAGTTTCTTTTCTCCCTTATGGATTCATAGGGACAGAAGCTTTTATTTTTCTCTCGCACTCTCCTTTCCAGAGCCAGCTGAATATTTTACATTCAGCAGCAGTAGCTGCTGATCTGAGGTTATGTTATCCCCTGGAATCTTCTATCTTCATTCCAATCCCATCCTCTATTATTGATTGTCATTTCCCAAAAAAGCATAGTTTTGGAAAATTAGATGCATTGTTTTATTAGAGAGTCTAGCAACTTTAGATATCCCTAGAAGATATAACAGCTATTACAGGGCAGGGAAGTAAGAGAGGGTGGTACTTAGCCCTGTAACTGCAGAACACCCCAGGGGGGACCCAACTCACATTTTAGGGGACTTTCTGAGACTGCGATCTTTTGTCTGGTTCTATTCCACTCAGAGAAGCAGAATGAGACATGTTTGCAGTGATTTGTAGTATTTGCCAAACAGGGTGCTGCATCAGAATAGCCTGGAATATAGTGCAGAGCTCCCATTAAACCTCCAGAGGGAAAAGGGTTTCCTCTTCATTTATAGTTTGCCCGATGCAATCCCATTGTAAAGTATCTAATAGGATAACACTCGGGCTCTTCAGAAATATAAGTAACTCATTGGTTAAATTTCAATTCTTCACCTTTCCCCCCTCCTTCCTGGGTGAGCTCATTCCCCCCTCCCTTTTTTTTTTTTTTTTTTTTTTAATCCAGTGATTTAAAATGCTAGAAGGAAAAGCAACTGAGGTCTCAACTTTGAGATGCTGAATTCTCAGCTAATTGAAATTACTGGGCACAATGCTATATATAGCCAATGAAGAGATTTTGAGCTCTCACTCAGTGCCTTCAAGACATGTCGTTTTGTAGTCAGAGAAAACAGAGATCAATGCATTTTCAAACTGACAGAGGGAACGGATGCTCCTTAGTAGCACATGCCCAGGATCGTGTGTGTGGGGCTTGCGCTGTGCTGAGAAGCTGAATACCGGTCCATATGCTCCTTATTTACTGCAATGTTCTTTGCATGTTACTGTGCACTCCGGACTAACGTGAAGGTAAGAGGAGGCGAGACGGCAACTGGGCACAATATACATGTTAAACCAGCTGCAGAAAATGTCTACCTTGTGTAGCTCCAGGACTTTTCGGATTGCTGGCTGAGCAGGCAGATTATTACAGGTGGTTGCAAAGGCTTTGTTTTATTGTTGCCGGGCAGCCTCGCTGGGGGAGCATGTAGGAACGCTGCTGTGAAGTGACCTTCAGGTTTAACTATTTGTAATTCAGGTTCACGCTCACGCCTGGGGAGTGGAGAGGGGGGAGGAAAAGATGAACATTATTTAGGTAGGCCGGAACCAAGAAATCAGAGGAGGTTTTTTTTTTTTTTTTTTTTTAAAAAAAAAAGCTATAGAGCATTCTTTAAATAATGAGGATTTAGTCTTTCTTTTAAAAGTGCTGTGAGCTGCCTGTGTTCATGCAGCTTAATTGTTTAGGAACCGGGGGTTTCAATGTAGTGGCTGTAATGGCATTAGAATGTGATCTGTAGGATACCTGACCATCCTGTGTGTACAAACAAATGATTATCCTTAGGAATTGGTGATGTTAATCACACAAATCTTCAGCTCTGGGTGGGCTGGTTGCTTTGGCTGCGTGGGTGCCGCTGCCCCAGTGCTGTCACCCCTCTGACATTCACTTGCTGTAGCTAATGAGCTTCCAAAGTTGAGCCTAAGTTTGGGAGATTTACCCGTGGTCATGAACGAGGGTGTTATTATTGGAAGGTTCTCTGACACTGTGTTCATTCAGCACTGAGCCAGATGGACCAGCTGTGGAATTCCAGTTGCATAATTTAAGTGAATTACATCCTCAGTTAACATTTGAGCTTGTGTTTCTTACTGAAGGAAGTCCAAAAGGAAAGTGATTGCCTGGGGGGGGGGGGGGGGGCAATTATGACTTAATACCTAAAACAGGAATCTTTAACCACATGACAATGGAAAGTGCTTCCCTCTTTTATTTGGCTGGGGGAGTGCTTAAATGCCTGGGTACTAAAGTTTCATTTTCTGTGTTTACAAGTTTTACTAAAGAACTTCCTACGGCTCACTCTTTTGAAAGCCTTTTTGTTTTTCATTTGAATTTCAAACAGGTAGTATTTATGTTTTGATGACCAATTCTTTTACAACTATAGCCTGAAAGCATTCTGTGGATCATGTTGCAGAGTTCTATAGAATTTACATTTTACTGCCTTAAAAATTAACTTCATGGTCAAATTTCTTTCATATGTCTGATGGCAACCTGAAAATAAATATTTAAAAAATGGAGAGTGTGCCCAAATATCAACTTGGATTTCTCCATCACCATCTCCTATTCCAAGTTATCAGTATGATAGTCACAGTTTTGTAAGCTCAGTGAATTGTTAATGTTTCCCTCCTCATTTTCTTTCTTGAAGAAAAATGTTTTCTTCAAAAGAAATACGATAAATAATTTAGATCAAGAAAAAATTGTTTGTATTTCCTTATAAAATTTCAGAAATACAAGAAAACCCAGTCCAGATTTCCTTTGATATGGGCTTTGGGAAATCCTTTTCTACTCATAACTACTAACATTTGTCTTTATAGACTTAACTTTCAATTTATTTCACATTCATAAGTAAAGGAATGACAGAACTTTTGCTAACAATATCTTACCTAAATTTAGATGACTTTTGGATAATAAATTCTTAGTTCTTGGCTAATCTGTACTGAGATACAGATATTTCATCAATAGAAACTGAGACCATATGCATTGCCACATACAACATATGTAACCTTGCTTGCATATGAATAGATTGACTTCAGTTTTAAATGAGCTCATAAATTTTAATAATTAGCTCTTATTCTTTCTTGAATAATTTATAATTTTATTTTGTTGTTATATATTCCTTCTGAAATAGCAAGGTTTGTGAAAGAGTCTGCAGTTTATTTGCTGTCTGATCATTCACCAGGTTGGTGCCTTAAGACTCTCATCTAATAATTTTAGCTTTATTTTTATTTTTTAAGTTGTTTGATTTTTATTGTAACTATTTGCTTGGTTCTGATAAAGTCTTCCTTTGTTGTGTAGTTTTTCATGCTTGCCATGATTATTATTGTAATGACCTAAAACTTTAAGATGGACAAAATTTCAGAGATAGAAAATTTCTTTTTTTTTTTTCTGTACAGAATAGACCACTAATGTCAAAATATTTTATTCTAAAATGATTATTTTTTAAATTGGACCTTTTTAAAATATTATAACCAAAAGGATATTTTGAAAATGGTATGTTATAATATATTAAAATGTTTTCATGAACTCATCAAGATATTAAATCTGGACCACTAGTTCTCTCTCTCTCTCTCTCTCTCTCTCTCACACACACACACACACACACACATCAGAGAGTATTGCTTATGGGTAATTATGTATTAAAATATTTTGAATGAGAACTATGATTGATGTATTATGCTAAAGTCATGGATACTAAGATGAATAGAAAATAGTCCTTGCTTTCAGGAAGCTTTCATTCTAGGACAAGACACAGACATATAAACAAATAAGTGGTTTGAAATATTATAGGACCTTTTGTGGATTCTAAAGCAGGACATTATTATAGGGGAAAAGTAAACAACAGAAACAACAACAAAGCACAGGCCAGCTTTACCCCTGACTGGTCAAGAAAGGTTTCACTGTGAGGTCACCTTTGAGTTGAATCTTGACAGGTAATGGAGCCTTGCCAAGCAGCTTAGATTGAGGAAGGCATGCTGGGATGCTGGGTAGAGACTGACAAAAGCATGGAGCTAAGAAGCAGAACACTTTGCAGAACTGCAAATGATTTGGAATGGATGGAGTGTGCAGTCTTATAAAGCCAAACAGAACTAAAAGAATGGACTGAGCAATGATTACAGTCTAACTTTTTGAAAATTATGTTACTTTGTCACATATTTTCTGGAAAAGAGGGCTTTCCATGGGAGTCAAAGAAATAAAGTTAACAAAGCTTTTTTTTTTTTTTTTTTTTTTTCATTTTTCTGTGTTTTCATGTTAGCTTTAAGTTGTTTAAGTGATAAAGATTCATATCCCATTGGCTTGGGTTTTTTTTTTTTTTAAGAAAACAGAACAATTTAATTTGATTCTGCTCACACATAAAGAAGTAATGTGATCATTATGCAGATGTGTAGTTCCACTTCCATCTGAAATTGACCATGTTATATGAAAACTACTTTCTTTCATAAGAAAATTTGGAAAGTTTATTGTATTAAAAGTCTATATGGTTTTATCTGCAGAAATAGCTCTATTTTTAAAAGTAATGATACCGATGATAATTTCCTAGTAATTTTAATGCCTTAACCATTGTTTTCATCCTTTCCTTGTTATTACAAACATATACACACCCACAAACCCATACTCCCAAAAGCATCAAAGGCAAATATTAGATCACTGTCACAGATAAGAAAACAGCTTGAGATAGGAAATGACCCATTACTGTGTTCAATTGTATATCAAAATCAGACTTAGGGCAGTCTTCAAGTCTCTTGAGTCTTGACTTACTGTTATTTCCAGTAAACCCTGCTGCTTATCCCTAGATTCAAGAATTCTGCTCATTTGTTTTGAAATTGCTTGAGAGAAAATAGAAGAACCTTTTAGTAAAACCATGTAACAGAATGATTTTAAAGCATGAGTTTTGAGGGATTACCAAAAACTAAACAAACAAACAAAAAAACTACATTTAAGTCTCTTTTTGTCATTTATTGCATAGTTTAAGAACATTTCTTAACCTATCTGAAGTTCAGTTTTATTTTTCATTTGCAAAATAGGGATAACAATAGCTCTTAGCTATTGTAATAATTATGTGAGATAAGGCATGTAAACACTGTAAAAATGTTCTTAGAGTGTAGTAAGATTTCAATTAACTCATAATTGATAAAGTAGAAGTCACTAAATAACAGTGAGTCTTCAGAGTTGCTTTCATTAGAAAATTCTAGAAATTGACCCCAATTAAAAGATACTATAATTGATAGAAGCATGTTTAGGTCTTATCTCTTCTCTATCACTATCACACCACAACTACACAAGCACATACATTAACATATAAACTCTGAAATCTGGGGTCTTAGTTTATTTCTTCATCTTCAGATCATAAGAACAATTAACCATTTCAAGTACAAAGTAAGTGCTCAATACATATTTGCTAAATAAAAGTATAAACTGAGTTTCAGCTTTACTTTTCAAAATCCACTTATCTTCTTCCCAAAGTACTTATTTCTCCTAATGTATTTAAATTGTTTTGAGAGAAAGAAAGAAAAATGTCATAGACTTTGAAGTCACACAAGACTTACTCATTCACTCGTTCTTTTTGGATCTATATAGCCAGGTTGTAGACCTAGGTTGGAGGGAATCAACAATTCACACTAAAACAATTTATTGAATGCCTAAATCCTCTAGAATTCAGACATTCATCATACTCATTATCACCAAATTTATTCAGTGAAATTGCTTTTAACAAACATAACACCTTTATAGCATCCAAACATTTACTGGAATTGTATCCTACAATGGGAATCCCTTCTCTGCATGGCTATGGTTGAATGGATTCTATTCTTTCTTTAAGAAATAATGAAGTTGTCTATTTAATAAGAAGTAGAACCCAATCATACTAACGCCCATGTTTTTTCCCTCCTTTAATTTACTGAGTACAATTTCTTCATCTTCATGGCGATAAATCTTATATTGCCTTATATCATTACTTGCATTATTATTTTATACTGCTAGGTAATGTTGCTTATGTTAGTAATTTTAGATTTTAAGCATTTTGAAAGCAGGAAATATACACTTTTTTGGCATTTTTTTCTTATAGCTTATTTTTATTTCATGAATTCAAAAAATGATCGATGGTCTGATCTAAAGGGAAACTTTCAGAAACTATTTCCTTATGCTCCTGACACCTACTCTTAGCTACATCCTGTGATGCATTGCACATATTGATGCTTTGAATAAACACATAATTTGTTGTAGGCAGGGCTTGTGGGATCATGAATCAGAATGTGTGGACAGTTTG